ATTACAGTGGAGGATATGGAACTCCTGATGGCCTGGGTGGATATAGTAAGTATAAGTTTTGCTTTTCATGTATTTGTTGGAAATGCTGTTAATGTCCATCTAGTAATGGATGATGGGGCAGGGTGGTGGGCATTGTGGGCTGGGGGTAGCTGGGAGGAGAGGGAGTGGGTCAGCAGTTTAAACTGTAAATCAGTTGGGGGTTTATAATTTTGCTACTACAGCAAATGCTTTTTTTAAAAAAACAGTGCTGATGTATCTTTGTTTGAGTAGAAGTTAAGTCATTTCAACCGTTCTGTATTACCCATCACATTTTTTCTTTTTTTAAGGTATGTATGCGTGACCTTGTGTCAATTGTTTGCAGGTCGTGGCACTGGAAATACTGGAGGATACTATGGGCAAGGCACTATGGGTGGAGGAGGATGGCGTGGAATGTATTGAAGGGTAGCCTTGCTTCTACAAAACATCCTGGAAGAAACAGTCTCTGGTCTACTAGACTTTCTTACAAAATTTAATTTCTTTTGTATTTTAAGAACTTTATAATGACTGAAGGAATGTGTTTTCACAATATTATTTGGTAAGCAACAGATTGTGATGGGAAAATCTGTTTTCTGTAGGTTTTATTTGTTGCATACTCTGACTTTAAATAAATTTTTATATTCAAACCACTGATGTTGATACTTTTTATACTAGTTACTCCTAAGGATGTATTACATATTCAAGACTACAGTCGGTTTAAGATGTTGTACTGTGGTTCAATAAAGGTGGTTGTACTGTGACTCCCATGAACACTGATTCAGTTCTATGTAATCTTGGTGTAGTAATTGAATTTGAAAAATCCACTTGTTTAAGGGGATAAAAGGTAGATGACTAGGTTAGTTGATTTGGTAACAGTATTTCCTAAACCCTTTTCATAAGTAAGTTGTGTAATAATCTCAACACAGCGTAATGCTCTGGAGGCCAAGTCAGTGTGCTGGCTTTTTTGTACTACCACAATCCACCATCACCTTCAGGTGCATGGCTGCATAAATGAGTAGTGCCCAGGTTTTGTGCCTGCACCAAACCAAGCAGTGATGTTTATTTCCACACATGTAACATGCAAACCAAACTGTAATACTAGCACAGCTTTTTGCTAACACAGAGTGGGTCACATGCTAGTTAATTTGGAGCTCTCTACTTAATCTTTCTTTTCCCTAAAAACTGCTTTTGGGAAGAGCGGGGGCTTTGGGAGCAAGTTAGATACTTTTTCTTTCATGATATTACTGTACTTAAACACAATTTCGCTTTTCGTTTTTCTTCCTGCACAGAGCTGACTTGTTTTGTGTTTGTTCAAAACTTAACAAGCTATTCTCTAGATGAGCTTGTTAGAAGCAAAATATCTCTAAAATGATAAGCCCACTACCTGGTAAATTCCACACAACCTGAACACACTGATAAAACTTTCTGTGCATTTGTGACATGTAAGATATGTAAGCAACTATTGTTTGAAGACACTTAACATACCTGATGTGTAATGAAAAAAGGTATTTATTCTTCTGAGCCAGTGTGATCTCCCAAATTAATTGCTTTGTTCTCAATGCCTCCCTTAAAATGTCAAATGTGATCTTGGGTATTGAAAATCTGTCACCTGTTTTGCTAGTACTGTGTTATATATGTAATAAATGTCTTCTTGTGGGAGAGAGGAGAATGGAGTTTATTTCACTAGAGATTGTGGTTTTGTCTCATAGTGACTGGAAATAAAAGCTGTGAAAGGGTAATTGGCCCAGGAAGCTTTCCAAGTTCTGGAGTATTTTTGGCTAGGCAGGAGAGGGAAGATGAGGCCTCAACACCAGTGTTTTAATTCTGCTCTTGTGGGTTCTTAGTCTGCTCCTGAAAAAGCTGCTGTGTTTCAGAAAACTTAAGATGGCAAAGGTCAGGAAAAAAGTTAATCCAGGTGCAGGAAAAAGCATCTTAGAGCAAGGTGGAGGACGTGTACATGTAATAGAAGCAGGTTTTTTTCTACCAGCATAGCAGGTATCTGCAAAATACTGTCAGTTCTGGTCCATTTCCTCACTTGGGTATATTTTGTGTTCTGTTTTATGAGAAGGAACACCAGCAGCCAGCTGAGGTTTCCCTTTACTTTCAGAGAGGCGGGTGCAAACACAGTAGGTTGACCTACCTTTTTGAGAAAGTGGGTTCAGTGTGAGTTGACTGGTGTGGGGAGGAGGAGGAACATATTTCTCTGTTTACTTGCTCAGGCCCTAAACTCATGAACTCAGAAATCATTTCTCAAGAAGAACAAACTATGCTCTGATACTCTGCCCAGTTCAAGTTTCTCTTGATGAACACAGATGTTCCTATGCTGGGTGTGAGGATAATTTAAAACCACGATCTGTCAAAGAACAGTGTTTGACAGAAAGGGGAAAGCAAATCACCGAGAACATCATAGAATACTTGCCCCTTTGTTCAAGGCAGTTGTTTTGCAAATAGGCAAGTACAGAGGAGAGGGAAAGATTGCAGTTAAGTAATACAAATTTAATTTATTGCATGTTACAGAAATGTGCTGTCTTCTTACTTTAAAAGATTGCCTATTTTAAAATTAATTTTGTTTAGTTGCATATTTTTCAAAAAGTTAGTTAGGAAAGCAGTACCAGTAAGCACCCTCTGTATCCTAGATTGCACCCTGCTGTCTCCATACTTACCCCACATAAAGCCTATGGGAAAAAACACTTGGAATACTTTCAGGAACATAAGCAGCACTTGCTTTGTTATCTCCTTAGTAGGGGGTAGGTTGCCACTCCTCAATATATGCAAAGACTTCTAAGCAACTTGAACAAGTCCTACCTAATACTCTGAATTACAAATTTAGTGACATTATTCACATAGTTAAGTGGCAGATCAATTAAATTTATTTTTTCCAAAAGATATTTACAGATTTACAAGTATTTGTTTTGTATTCACAAAAAAGTTACATCAGGTAATTTTAAAAACATTTTTCTTTACAAAAGCGACTACACTGGGGTGTTAAAAAGAACAGACCTATTGGCTTTTAGAATATTAACTAAACACCTATCCTCAAGAGACAACACTAAGCTAAACAAAGTACAAGAATAATTAGAAGACCTGTTTCAAGAGAGACTTTTTCCTGTTTATAAGCATATTCTAAGCCCATGGCTGAAAGAACTACCAGGCTGGTAATTCTGCTGATGGCTTGTCAGTACTGGCCAGAGCGTAGAGATTCCACATCTGGAACCCATCACACAAGCAGCTAAAGGGCAGAGGGTACACTGGTTCTAGTGAAGTGACGGTAAAGTGGGGAATATTTACCAAGGGATGTATTTGCCTATAGGAAGAATGAAGATTTACATTGCAGCAGAAGTTACCATTGGTGTGAAGAGAGGTCAGACCTGGATATAGTGAAAAGTGCTCTGGAAAAAAAAAAGTGCCGTTTAGGAGCAAATTCTGAAAGTTTGAGAAAGATGATGACAGAGTAAGGAAGAACTTCCCTGTCCAACACTGAAAGGATGCGGTCTCCAGTAGTTAACCCTAGTCTTTCCAACTGGCAGATTCACCCTGCTTCCAGAGCCATACAGCTTACATGAAAACAATACAAAGATAATTTTACAGACAATGTCAGGCAAAGACTTTGTGATGGACATCTCTCTTTTAACTGGAAACACAGATATGTCAAATTAATACTTAATTTAAAAAAATAATTCAACAAAATGCACCTCCCATGACCCAAGTGCCTAGAGGCACTGCTTGTTTCCTGCTTGACAAAATCTCCCCTTACACCTGTGACTACAAAGAACAGAGCTGTCAGTGCAATATTCTTGGATATATCCAATCTTGATCAGAGGGGAAGTAAACAAATACAGTTACTTGGCAGTAACTCATTGGACCACTGCATTAATTGCATTGCTTTTTTTTTTTTAATACAATTTAAAACTACCTACTGCACAGTTTTGCTTCACAGCAGCATATCACAGGCACATTCTGCAGCAATATTAGGTTGGCCTTGCTGCAGACTAGCCTGTAAAAGCAGGTAAGTACATCATCTTTTTCAAGATCATCATAATGACTAAGATGCTCATCAAACAGATGTTAACACCAAGTCTCCTCTGTAACCAGCCCTGCTTCCTCCAAAACAGCTTCCAAGCCATTCATGAGACTAACATTGTCATCTGTATTTTTAACATGTCCATTTTCTACACTTGGGTCCCATTTTCTCTGTTTCAAAACAAAGCAGGCATGTAACTCCTCTACAGTACCTTGAAAATACAACTCTGAACTGCTTACCTGAAATTCTTGAAATGCTGCTCTATGTTCTTTAGTTCACATTCTCTTTTTACAGGATTAGCCAAATACCAAAAGGTAATAAATATCTTGTAGCATACTCTTACGGCACATTAGAAGAGCACCTCTGTATAAGTATTGCATGGCAGGAATCACAGACCCGAACAGGCTTTGGTGAAGAAGGCAGAGGCAGTTCATTGTCCGAACAGGCATTACAGAAAATCTCACCACAGTTTCTACAATGATGCTAAATAATGGAGAGAAGATTAAAAATTAAAACTTTTACACTAGAAATATACTTGGTAATTGGATACCAATAAACGGTATACACAGAGCAATCTGAAATGTGATTCCTTGCACTTCTTTGGTCTGAGCATGGAATCGGTTTTCAGAAGATAATTCATCTAAATTCATCTAGACAGACCATGGTCTGTCTAGGATTGAACCACCAGTTGCAGATACAATCCCTGAATTAAGAACATACTCTGCTATATAAAAATGTAGTACAAGCAATGATATTCCAGACCGGATGATTCTGTCAGGCACCTAACTGAGATTTAACATAAAAAGGTAAAATAAAAATTCCTGCACGTGTTAATAAAGCATAGAAATTAACATCACATTTTATTTTAAAACGACAATAACCTTGTACTTTCTTAGCCTATTGTAAAAAAATGCCACAAAAAGAATCCCACATGTGTCAAACTGTGACAGTTCCAGACCTGACAAGCATTTGAAATGATGATTCCACAAAGTAGGTTGAACGATTTTTATGTTCCACAGTAGCATTTCACCAAAAGGCAGTGTTTCTTGTGAAACCTGGGCTCAGGTGCATTGTAAATACCGAGGAACTAGAAAGGCATCTCAGAAATAACAATGCATTCATCTGAGCATTGACATTTCATGCTACATCTCTAATACATTTAATGTTTTTCTCATAATACATGTAAACAAGTTGTAAGAAAAATCACTGAAGTTTTACCTTCCTTTTGGAAAGAGAAAATTCCTTTTCACATAACTTGCAACGTGTAGCCTCTTTGTCCTTCAACCAAACCTGGCCCTGGAGAAAAAATATTGTAAATATATGTATCTGATGAAGTTAAACTTTGGGTTCCAGAGAACAAGACAAATCAACAGCAGTATTTACTGCCTGAATTATTGCATGCCCTTAGGTCAGTATAATGTCACAGAGACTCTAAATAAGTACAAGGCCACTCTAAAACAATGCAAAACTTTGTGAGATGAGACAGAGCAGGAGGTGCAAAGCGAACGTGCTTGAGGTAGTAAAGCTGGTCAAGGGCTGAGCCAGAAAAAGCAGAAAGGTATGTATCTCAAGTCTCAGAGCTGAAGTCTATTTCCCTGCCCATCACGCAGGAACAGTCCCCAAGTTGCAGAAAAAACAAAACAAAACAGGTCAGTGTGTCATGGTTTAAACCCAGACAACTCGTTCACTCGCTTCCCCAACTTCTTGCCCTCTCCCTAAGGACAGAGAGGAGAATCAAAAAGAATGCAACTCCCACAGGCTGAGATAAGAACAGTCCAGTAACTAAGGTATAACACAAATCACTGCTGCTACCACCACCAATAATAATGATAACGGAAATAACAAGGGAAGAGAATACAACATCTCACCACCAGGCGACTGATAACTCCCTCCCCCCAACCCGACCAAGCACCGACCGATACCTCCTCCAACCCCGCAGTCTCCCAGCCCTTCCGGCTAACTCCCAGTTACATCCTGGGCATGACGTGCTGTGGTATGGAATACCTCTTTGGCTAGCTTGGGTCAGGTGTCCTATCTCTGCTTCCTCCCAGCTTCCCCTCCTCCCTAGCAGAGCATGAGGCTCACAAAGTCCTTGGCCAAACCAAAACATCCTTGTTATCAGCTCTGTTCCCAAGCTGAAAGTTGAAACACTGCACTGCACCAGCTACCAAGAAGGAGAAAAATGACTGCTACTACTGAACCCAGGACACAGTAATAAGAACTGTTAATTTCCTTCTGTCTAAACCAATTAATAAAACCAGGAATCTGCTCAACAAAACCATTTCGGACATCTTCACTTGCACTGAAGTAATATGCAAGTTCACATGCCACATGTTCAAACGTGCAGACAAAATCTCTGCTCTCAGTGCTCCCGGCCTATCTTTAAAGTTCCAAACCTCTTAACATTTCAGATCATATTTTATCAGCTTTGGTGTGAAGAATGGGGTTGACTGAAGAATAGGGTTGTAAATAAGTAACCTCAAGAACGTTAGGCTTTGTTAGCAACTATAGAGAAAAGGAAATTACTAAGAACCAGGCGGTTACCTATATGACAATGATCCTAAAACAAAGTGATGAAGAAATAACCACCAGGGGTCCAAAAGCCCACTACCACATTTTTGTATGCATACAGGAGGCATTCTCTTAAAAGTATGATGTAATGTATATAATCTAATGAATATGCACGCTTAAGAACAATATAATCACAGCCTGGTTAATGCTCGAGGGAGACACACTTGGAGGAGCTATCCCCCGTGTTTCCCAGCACCACAATGAAGAATACCTGCTTCTCAGCTTGAAAACGTTGTTGGCGAGTTCCTGGAGATTTCTCCAAATCAATCTGGCACCCCAGATGGTACCCTCTCTGCTCAGCTCCAGGACCCGCTGAGGACAGGTCTCCCTAGGGCCCTCAGGAGTTTTTCCTGGAGGGACCCCTTGACTCATTTGGATCACTGCAGGAGCAGACAAGGACCATCTTCATAAAAGGTATTCTTTTCTTTTATATAGCCTGTAAGACGCAGGGGGCATCTCGGTTTGGTAAATTGGTTTGGTAAGCGTATGCAAGGTTTGGAAGCCTTCTGTAAATTGAGATAGGAAATCTCATGGGTAAAGGCGTATACCCGGCTGCTAGCATCCATTTGGTATGCACCCACAAGAAGCAGGGGGCATCTTGTGGTTTGGGTCCTGCAAGACGCAGTGGGCGTCTTGTAGAAATGGTTTTGGATTTTTTTACTGGTATTTGACTTAATCTGTGGCTTGTTATAATTATGATTTTGGTCTTGTGATTTTGGTATTGGTGACAGACTGTTGTAACTGCGTTATTAATTGTCTCTGTTTCAAGTGTTGCAACTGTGTGGAGTGTGTCTATTTTGCGGCTTGTTATAGTGATGATTTTGGTCTTGTGATTTTAATATTGGTGACAGACTTATTGTTGTTCATTTGATATAGTTTTAGTCTCTGTCTGTGCCTCAAGTGTTGTAACTGTGTGGAGTGTGGCTGTGGGATCCCATGTGTGTGTATGTGAACGCAAGATAGATAATGGGAAATTGGCAGAGTGAAGACATCTTGAAAAAGTCCTTTAGGGTGCAATTTGGCACACTGGAAAGAACTAGGAGGGTTTCCTTGGGGCTCAGTAAATAAGAAAACATTGGTGAAATATTGTAACCAATGCTGGCCCTTGTATACTCTGGGGGATCAGGAGAAATGGCCTAAAAATGGAACTCTGAATTATAATACATTGTTACAGGTGGCAGGGAAAATGGGAAGAAGTGATGTGTGCAGATACATTTTTCACTTTAAGAAACCACCAGAGTGGCAGACGAAATGTGAAATTAATATAGCTCTGTCAGATCCCTAATTTTGGCTTTGGAAAAGGACAGGGAAAAGCAGAAAGCTAAGCTGAAGAGATGTTGTTCAGCCTGTGATATTGGGGGAATGATGTTTAAAGTTAAAAAAAAAAAAAACAAAACAAACCCAAACAGAGTAATCAGGAAGATAGGTTGGGGGATTATGTATCTCTGAGAGGTGCACTCTTAGCATCTGCCCCATCTGTTATTGATAAGGAGGAAGAGGTTGCTGTCACTGGCAACAGAGCAGAAGGACTTGAGAATGTTAAATAAGTGTGGAGAGTGTACTGGAATCAGAAACATGTAGAGAAGAAAGAGCTGGGTCGTGCTGTAGGCATGGCTACAGGGGCTGCTTTGGGACAAGTAGAAACTGGTGGAGGGACTAATGTGAGAGGACGAGGCAGAGGAGGAATGACAGGCAGAGGTGAGAAATTGAATTCTCCTGTGGGAAGGTATCAGTGTGCATACTGTAAGGAGTTTGGATGTTGGAAGTGAGACTGCCCTGGGAGGAGTGCGCCATGGGGTGGCTCCAGTGACTGAACTGGAACTAGACTGACAGGGACCTGGGAAATCTACCCTAGCAGATCCACTGATTAAATTAAAACTTGGGACTAGAGGAAATAAAGTGGAATTTTTAAGTGAATACAGGAGCAACTTATTCGACATTAAATCGGAGGAAAAGAATTTGTGACAGATGTGGGAACTACTGGCCACCAAGGAAAAAAAAAAAAAAAATACCAGGGGGAAACAAAACCAAAGAAAAGCATTCTTTCTGAAACCTTTAGAGTATAAATTGGGAAAACAAATAGGAATTCATAAATCTTTATACATGCCAAATCCTCCAAAAAAATCTTTATTAGGGCGAGAAGCAACATTTAAAGAAGGCAAAATGAAATTAAGAGTCAAAAACGATCAATTAATTGAAGTTTTATCTTTAATTCAACAGAAATGCAAACAGGAGGACCTCCCTGAAATAGAAGAAATACTTAATCAGGTATATCTGGGAGTATGGGCATCTGAAGTTCCAGGTAAGGCGAAAAAAATGCTTTGCCTGTTAAAGTGGAAATAAAAGGGGGGCCTGCCCAATTAGAATTAAACAATATCCCTTAAAATTGGAGGATCAAAAGGGAAACAAAGAAATAATTTTTTAAATATATGGATTATTATTTGAATGTGAATCAGAATATAGTACTCCTATCTTGCCATTAAAATACGATGGGAAAAGTTACAGATTAGTTCAAGATCTCAGAGCAGTCAACAAAATTGTGGAGGATATTCACCCAGTAGTAGCTAATCTGTATACCTTATTGACTAAATTGAATATTTATCAGGAGTGGTTTACCGTTCTGGACTTGAAGGATGCATTTTTCTGTCTGCCCCTGGCCAAAGAAAGTCAAAATTTATTTGCTTTTGAATGGGAAAACCCTGAAAGAGGAAGGACACAGCTCACTTGGACAGTGTTACCTCACATTTTTGGAAATCAATTGGCACTAGAATTAGAATTCTGGGAAGCACCTACCCAGACAGGAACTTTACTATAGTATGTGGATGACCTGTTAATTGCTACTAAAACTGAGAGGGAATTTGTTCAATGGACTGTAGAACTGTTAAACTTTCTAGGGCTAAATGGATACCGGGTATCTAAATTGAAGGCTCAACTAATTCGAACTCGAATATCTTATTTAGGATGTAAAATAACAGGAGGACAATCAGAACTTGGAGCAGCTCAGAAGGAAGCAATATGTCAAACACCGTGACCATCCACAGTTAAAAGATATCTGGACATTTCTGGGAATGACAGGATGCTGTCAACTCTGGATCCATGATTATGGTGCTCTGGGAAGACCCTTATATGAGCTGCTAAAAGAAAATCCAACCTTTCTAAAATGGACAGATCAAGCTGAAGAAGCGTTTAAAAGTTTAAAGACAGAACTTATGAGAGCTCCAGCTCTGGGGCTCCTGAACATAACTAAACACTTTTGCCTATATTCCTATGAAAAACAGCAAATAGCCTTGGGGGTTTCGGCTCAAAGATTGGGATCTTATAAAAGAGCAGTGGCCTATTTTTCAAAACAACTGGATGAACAAAGTGGAGGCTGCCCTGGATACTTGTGAGCAGTGGCAGCAGTTATCTTAAACATCCAAGAGGCGCAAAAATTTACACTGGCACAAAAGATCACCCTGTTAGTATCACGTGCAGTATCAACAGTCCTAGAACAAAAAGGTACACATTGGCTATTGCCATCACGTTTCTTGAAGTATCAAGCCATCCTAGTAGAACTGGATGATGTGGAAATTGCGATCACTAATGTTGTGAATCCAGCATCTTTCCTTCAGGAAACCCCTACTGAACCATTAACTCACAACTGCTTGGCCACTATAGAGACAGTATATTCGAGCTGACCAGATCTGAAGGAGGAGCCTCTGGAGGGTGCAGATTCCTGGTTCACCGGTGGCAGCAGCTTTGTTAAAGATGGTAAACGAAGAGCAGGATATGCCATAACTACAACTTCAAAGGTAATAGAAGCTAAACCATTGCCCTCTAACACTTCAGCACAAAAGGCAGAAATAATAGCCCTGACAAGAGCCTTGGAGTTGGCAAAGGACAAGCAGATAAACATACGGACTGATTCCAAATATGCCTTTGGTGTGGTTCATGCACATGGAGCAATTTGGAAAGAACAAGGACTTTTTAAATACCCAGGGAAGACAAATTAAACATGCAGCGGAAATTCTATGATTGTTAGAAGCTGTACAATTAGCCAAGGAAGTGGCTATCATACATTGTAAAGGACATCAAAGAGGTAACTCTGATCAAGAGATTAGAAATAATCTGGCTGATCGTGAAGCTAAACGGGCAGCAGAAACAGAAAGAGTTGAGGTGATGTCCTTAATTCCTGACAGTAAACTGGTAATTGAGCAAAATAAACCTAGGTACTCTAAAGAAGATATGAAACTAATTGAAGACTTGGAAGGACAGGAAAATGAAAAGGGTTGGATAAAAATACCTAATGGGCAAGTAGTGATCCCTTATAATCAATTACGGAAGTTGATACAAGAAGAACATAACAAAACACATTTGGGAAGTAATGCCTTGTATCAACATTTAAACAAACAGATCATAGGAAGAAATTTCTGTACCATAGTGCAATTAGTGACAAAACAATGTCAACTATGTCTGAAAAATAACCCTAAGACTGAAAACAGGAATCAGGTAGGGACAATTGGAAAAGTGAATTATCTGGGACAACAGTGCCAAATATTTTTCTGAATAACCTAGAAAAGGAGGTTATTGGTATTTGTTGGTATTGACAGATACCTTTTCAGGGTGGCCAGAAGCATTCCCTTGTGGAATAAATAATGCAAGACAAGTCATTAAAACATTATTAAATGACATAATACCTTGTTCTGGGGTACCAGAGGCAATTTCTTCCTACTGAGGCTCACACTTCAGTGCAAAATTGTTACAAGAAGTTAGAAAAACTTAGAAATTGATAGGCAACCACATGTTCCTTACAGGGCTCAGGCCAGTGGACAAGTAGAAAAGATGAACCGTCTGATCAAACAACAGATTAATAAAATATGTCAGGTTATATTGGTACCAAGCCTTACTGCTGGCTCTATTAAGAATTTAAGCTAAACCTCGGTCGAAAGAAGAGGCTAGCCCATGCAAAATTTTATCTGGAAGACCATATCAGTCCCAGTTTAAAGGAGAAAGTCTTCAGGAAGTGGGAGAAGGCTATCTCCAACAGTTCTGATCAATCTGCGAAAACAATTAGAAGAAATAAATAAGAGAATATTAGGGACAAGAGCGAGAGGTTTAGATTATCCTATTCATCCTTTTAAGCCAGGAGACTGGGTTTTTATTAAGAATTTTGCAGGTGATCCCCTAGAAGAGAAGTGGAGTGGACCATACCAGGTATTACTGACTACCTTTACAGCAGTGAAGATAAAGGAACAGCCTGCTTGGATACATTACTCAAAAATCAAGAAAGCACCAGAACCAGAAACACATCAGAACCAAGAAAAAGTATGGCGTGTCAAGTCTTCAGGACCCACACATATGAGACTACATCGATCATATCTGGACTTGTATAATAGGTGTAGAAGCATGGAATCAAAATCTGTATCTGAAATTGATACAAAAGGTTACTAATGTCTTAAACAAGACTGATTGTTGGATCTGTACTCAGCTACTTAAATCAGGAGAGAGGCTGGGTATTCCTTTAATTGGCCTCACTATTCCCTTTAAGACAAACTGGAATAGATTATGGAGAGATGCTGTTTATACCGACAACAGCCATACAAAGTTACAGGTTTTAAGGATACAAGCCTCAAGTATGTCAGAAGTTAAATGTGTAACCACTAACAAAACTCTTAATCAAGGCAACATGTCAGTAGGAAATTACCCATACTGCAGCTGGTCAATGCAACTTCACCTTCGAACACCTTTAACTGGTTACTGGAATGTTCCTGAAGGGAAAGGGTGGTATTGGTTATGTGGAGAAAATGCCTTTAAGGCTTTGCCTCCTAACTGGAAAGGGACATGCACACTAGGAGTAGTGGTTCCAAACTTTACAGTAATTGACATTCATCCCTCTGGAACCTGGGTTCAGAGTTTTATTAAAAGAATCAAACAAGGATATAATCCCATAGCAGAACAAAATATTGCTTTCCATAGCTTTGTTAGATGGCTTATTCCATCTCTAAAATCGAATGGCATTAGATACACTGTTAACATCCCAAGGAGGAGTTTGTTCTGTAATCAATGATAGCTATTGTTCTTATATAGATCAAAGTGGAAGAATTACTACTGATCTAAAGGAAATGTGGAAACAAGTTAAAATATTTCATGAGGTGGCACAGGACAACACCTCATGGGGATCTGGGGAAATATGGAAAAAATTAACAACATGGGTACCCAATCTCTCCTGGATGAGACAGTTTTTTTTTTTACTGTATTTGTAATAATAGGAATGGTTGTAATTACATGCATAATGGTCCAATGCTCCTTTTGTTGTTGCAAACAAACCATGATGAACTGTGATGAATGGAAGAGAAACAAAATTAAGCATCAAGTAGAAACAGGGAAATACTTCAGGAAACTTTAAATAAGTATGAAATAACTCAGTTGCAAAAGAATTTGCAATAGGACAAGAAAAGGGGGGATTGAAGAATGGGATTGATTGAAGAATAAGGCTGTAAATAAGTAACCTCAAGGCTTTGTTAGCAACTATAGGGAAAAGGAAATTACTAAGATAAGCTTTGCCAGAACCACCTGGTGGTTACTGATATGACTGATATGACAATGATCCTAAAACAAAGCGATGAAGAAATAACCACCAGGGGTCCGAAAGCCCACTACCACATTTTTGTATGCATACAGGAGGCATTCTCTTAAAAGTATGACGTAATGTACGTAATCTAATGAATATGTATGTTTAAGAACAATATAATCACAGCCTGGTTGATGCTCAGACGAAACACGCTTGGAGGAGCCATCCCCTGTGTCTCCTGGTGCCGCAATGAAGAATACCTGCTTGTCAACTTAAAACTTTGTTGGAGAGTTCCTGGAGATTTCTCTGAATCAGGTGCTACAAGTTTACTTAATTCCTCAGATGATCAAATATTTACTGATCATTGAGAAGTAATACATAATTTAAGCTCAGCTGGCTACATTCTCTCCCAGATACGCTTTGTAAAATACCAAATGGTGCACCATCAGAAGTGTCAAAATGCATAGCTGTACTTCAAACAAGAAAAGTCAAAAGCAACTGAGCTTCTTTTTCCCCCGTGAGTTTACAGGGAATCTGCGGTTCCCTCCTGCTGGAGGAAGTCAGACAACGAGTCTCGTCCATATAGCTGCTGCTGAAGAGAAGTCTGCTCATGCTTACAAAAGATTTTGAAGGGAACAGTAAAAAAAAAAAAAAAAATTCTTCCCCCCCCCCCAAAACTCACCTGTAACGCTTTATTCGCTTCTTTTATATCTTCTATTTTCAGCTTTGATCTGAAGAATAACATAATGCTCTTTCAAACTTCTGTACTGTCAGTTACAGTCTGACAACTTCAAAAGTTGTAGGTACTTAAAAAATTATAAGCAAATTACTTTGAACTTTTAGTTAGCATTTTATATTATAACAGCATCCAGGAGACGCAATCAGTATCATGCCCTGCTCTACTAAGCATTACACAAAGACAAGCTCTCTCTAAAGAGCTTGAATGGCTGTTTAGAATCGTTTGAATGGCTGTAAATTTGCTTGGGGTTATGTGGATGACAGAAATTTGCACTGGCAGAGCTCTGTGCAAGTACCTAAAACTAGCACGCAGCACTGGTACAAAACCAGAATTTGAACTTCTTGACGTGTACAAGACCACATTATGTCACAGAGAAACCAGCCTCCCCACAGCCATCCAGTGCCAATCCACTCAGAAATGACTTGATTCATAGTTTATACACTAAGTTATTCTAGGGCATGAAAATCCACACTAGTCATGGCAAAACTACTTAAAAGACAGAGATCATTAAATGAAACTTTAACAACACACAACAATAACAAAACCTGTGCTCAGAGCTTATTGTTCACTATAGTCTGAAGGGGTTTTGATAAAGCAATCCCCTATATCCTCTACAGGCCTGGCAACAATGCCCTGTGACTATCATACAGAGAATCTTCATCTCTTCAAAGAAGGGAATTCATGAACATGCATTCATTCTCACAAACAGATAAAAGCACTGTCCTGCTGGAGCCAGAGCTGTTAACCTCTACTTGCCTCCTTCTGTGGAATGCCACAACACGCAAACTAGACAACTGTTTTCAATGCAAAACAACCCCTAATGCCCCCTGGCCCTTTTAAACTATGATCTTCTGTTCAGAGCACTATAATTTCCCATACATTCACATCTAGCCCACCAGCCAAAAGTAAAAATAAACAGACCTGAACTAACTAGACAGTTCTTTTTTGGTAAGTGCCTAGGCAATATGGTTATATACAGTCTAATTCACACGACCACCATCCTGTTATTTTTCTTAATTCAAATTTATATGACAAAAATAATAATCATCATGAATAAGGAAATTACTCGCTCAGCTTGGATGCCAGTTCTTGGAGAGCAGCTTCTTGGTCTTGACATATCCTTCGCAGTTGCTTGTTCTTTTCCTGAAGCTTAAGGAACTCCTTAAAACAAAAAATAGAACAGACAAAAAAATACCAATTATTCTCAAAACTGTATTTGCCTAATGCTGAGAAAAAACTGCTACTACACAAAACTGATCTTACTGAGAAAGCCAAGTGAATGATCCATCACACTCCCTATTAAGATTCCCAAATCCAACTCAAACAGCAACAAGTTAGGATTAAACTCTATTAGACCCCAAGAAATTAAGCTTTTTTGCTTCTGCAGTCCTCTCCAAGAAGAAAATAAAAATGATTGATGGCAGAGACCAACAACACTATATAGCCATGTATGCGTACACGAAGCTGTACAGAGAGAAGCTGAAGCGCTTTCTGGCCTATGATAAGAAAACAAAAACTTCAATACAACAACAATACAAAGGAAAATGAGGACTTAATTTAGTCTATCTGTGAAAATGCATTAATCTAATCTTTCTTATCTACTAGCAGAAAGTCTTAAAAGTACCATGTCTAAGTGCATAATTAACTTTGCAGTCAATTTCTAAATTACTAGTCAAGTTCCACCACAAAATTTACTTTTTTAAGATTAATTATTTCTTGGGTCTCTGTTTTCAGATGAGATAGAGTTTCCTTTTCCTTCTGAAGATCATCCTCTAGGGTTTGCCGCCACTCTTTTTCTATCTTCAAATCTGTTTCCAGCTGAAGTCTAGAATATGCAAAGCAACCAAAAACATCAATGTGCACAAAAGTATAATTTTTTAAAAACAAAAATTAGTTTTCTGGGTGCAATATACTTTTACGATAATGAACAAATTATCAACGCTTACTTTATCTAAAACATAAATAATGTAACAGTAACATATTTTAGACAGTGATGTAATAACCAAACCAAACCTGACATTTAGAACACGCTTTCAAAAAGAGGTGTATTTAAAGGACCAAGAATATGGCATAATTTTGAAGATCTGATCTTTGTAATACAACAGCAAGAGATTAACCACCAAATTCAGAAGTATTTTTGAAACATGCATAAGGCAAAGCCCCCTTAACCTTACATAACTCGTTTCTAAAATACAGCAAACCAATCAACCACACTGCCATCGGTGATGCAGACAATGACTGCATGTATCTCTGGTGCTCATAAAAGCTATTTAATATTATACCCTTAGATGTGAATCTTCTATTTTAGACGAAGGCTTATGGCATTTTGAACAGAATAAAAAATAAAGGCGAAACGTTAAATGACTATTTTTAATGAGCTTTTTACATAGCTGAGGTTCAACATAACGAGGTATCTATTACATTAACTGGAGTTCAGTTAAAGGAATTAGGGCTACTCTATCAAAAGATCCATTCTAGCTGGAATTTCACTACCATTTTCATGGGAGTGTTGGTGTTTACAATGTTACAGAGAAACCAAAACATGGAAGTACACTGCTCAACCTTCTAGATCTAAATTGTGCCAACAGAAAAAAAGAGGAAAGAATCTGAGAGTAGTCATGCAAGGGTTTTTTGATGGAAAACTTGTACTTTTATTAATTTTCCTGTTTTAAAACCAAAACCATTTTTACAGGTAAGACTTACATTTTGGGACACTACCTCAGCATCTGGGTGGAAAAGATCAGAAGTGAACATGACCTTGAAGTTTCAGAATTGCAGAATTCTAAGGCTGGGGGCTGAACTGTTCTTTTGCCAAAATCTGCAAAGATGACTGTGTAGTAAAGTGAACATTTGTCATGACAATTAAACAAGTTTATTAACATTCAGAATTGTAGCAGGGTGGGCTAATAATTGGATTTGAAATCACTAATTTTTGATCGCAATTCCTTGATGGACCACAGATTTGCACTGCCTTAAATAATTTACTAGTTACCTTTCTGAACAGGGACAACGCCTGCCCTTACAGGGAGCTTTTTTACACTATGTATTTATTTAAATCAGTACTGAAGGATTTAATATTAGAAGAACTAGAGGGCTGGCTTTTATATTACTTTTTAATGTTTATGATTCTAGTAAATTTTTATTTCCTACACAGTGGTGAGTTAAACCACTTCCACCTTATGCATAAGCCTGATTAACTAAGCTATTCTTAACGTTATTTCTGTTTTAAGTTTGTACTACCATATACTTGTGGGTTTTGTTAGTCAGTGTGTATTACTCCTACACTACATATTTTGCCCCACTTAAGATAATTTTTTCATGTATTAAGCTGGCACTTCAAGACAGAAAATGCTGTTCTTCCTCCTCAGGCTGCACATTATTTTATAGGCACCCAAAGGTAGCTTGACTTCCTTGGAGTGGCATACCTTCTCCCACCTTGCCAGTACCTAACATGAAGAACGTTAGTATTTACATTCTGTTCAAAACCATTTATCAACAACCAGTGTGTATGAAGACACAGGACATACTGAAATGTAGCACATTTACTGCTGTATACTTCTACAGACAGAAAAGATGTACTTACAGCTGTTTCTCCTTCTCGGAGAATTCTTTCTGCAGACTTTCAGATTTATTCATATATTCCTGTTTAAGTTTCTCATCCTCAGCCTCAGCATCCATTTGAGCCTTCTCTGCTTGCTGCAATCTGGTGTAATTCAAATCAACTTTGGGTAAAACTGAAGCTAGAACTAGGGTGTAGAGGGTGAAGAAGACAAATAAAAGAAAAAATGGGGAAATAGAAATATTTCTAAATAAAAACAAAGTTTGGGGGAAACTCACAAACTCAAACGAGAAATCCATACAATGCCTACAGAACTAGCTCCTGTCTTTTCATACAGTAAGAGAGAAATCAGTGTAAGTAATCACTGTTTTATTTTATGCTCATGAATAACAGATGCCAAAACATGATGATACATATTTTCAAACTGACACATACATCTTCTTTGATGCTTTTTTTTTTTGGAAGCTTTTTTTCTTCCCTCCAAATAGATCCTGTAAAAGCGCTTGGTTTGTACTAATCACCCACTAAGATAGGGCAGAGCATGTGTTGTGCAAAAGCAGCTCAAAACAATTCAGGCGTAAGACTGAATACAGAGCACTGCACTCAGACAGCAAAACAACTTAACCAGCCTAATACAACAAGACACACCCTGACAGGTCCCACTACATTAACAGAACTACCTCTACTACATCATACTATTCAATTAATTTAAATAATTTGTATTAAAAATAACATGTTCTTACACTGGTTAAAATAGCTCCATATTATATACAAAATAAATAAACCTGATTAAGAAATTGGGGATTGTTTGGGGGTTTTATTATTTAATCTTTCCCTTCTGAATTCCAGGGTTTTGCTTCTACTTCAGCTAGCACTCCCTTGGAATCCATTAGTTCAATGTGGCTCCTCTCTGCTTGGTCAACTCTTCAGTCCAAAAAAGGATGGATATAATGTAACAAAGTAAAAGCACTAAAATGGAACTTGTGCTATATCATGACTACACTTGTCTTGATGAAAAGGCAGGAGAGTGAAAGAGCGCATAAAATACCACTTAATGTCGCCACCTACTGCACTGTGTTTAACAAAACTGTTTTGAGGGCCTCTCGGGGTAAGCAGTGGGAGAAATCTGTGATACTCTCTCTGTGTGCTTGATT